CTGTATCCGCGCCTGCTGAGGGGAACCATCCCGATATTTTCATATTTTGCGTTAGGCGGCACGGGCGGACATCGATAGCAGCGCCTCTATCGGTCACTAGGGGAAAGCTGGGCTGTAGGCGACGAAATACCGGCTGAGTTGTCACACGTTGAATAGGTTTATAGACATCCGTCTTGTGAAAAAGTTGAACTTTGCTTCAATATTTCTACAGGCAATTTTAGAAGGGTCTTCACATAGATACAAAACTGTTTAGATTATTGATTCACTTCAAGCCTTCCCTATTGTTCTTGATGATGCGGGAAACTATTTCGAATAGTGTTTCTAGCGTAGTAAAAGAACATATTGTGCAAAACGATGAAAAAAGCATAGATGGAAGATTTTAAATGCAATTTTCTCTAGCAATTAATGGTAAATTTCTACAGATCAAGGAAAAGGTGCATGCTAATGATAATTTAAAGTTCTTGGGGCCAGTTGTTTTCTTCTCTTACGTCGCCCAATGGCCGCGAATACACTTGTGATAACGCCTATCGGACCCTCAGTGACCTGACCTCTGTGACCTGACCTCTGTGATCTGACCTGGCATCAGTGACCTCAAATAGCAAAATACCTGTTTAATGGACAATTCCCTATCGGTCATTTCAATGGCATGCATTTTACTCAATTTTATAACGCATTTCTTGAAATGCCTGTAAACGGTGAAAGTTCTACATTTGACCTGACCTGCGACGTCATCAGTTTGACCGAGGTCAATGACATTGGGTCACAAGGTAGTTCCCCGTTGGGGCTATCCAACGCCGTTTGCTGCTTGTCGCTATGTTGCGTGGTTCTCGAGATCTTTGGGGGGGGGCAAATGCCCCATCAGGGTGCGTTGCTCGGCAGACTCCATTAGGGCGGGGGTTAAGCTTTGCCTCAATTTTTTATTTTAATTTTCACACTTGTTTTTTTATTAATAATGTTAACCCGCGCATGACTTAGGTATTTTCCACAACGCGGCTGACTGGGGGGAGGGGGGGGCTCTACAGAGCCACCCAGCCACCCCTCTTATCTCCGAAACTACTGGGCCGATTGTCAAAAATTCAAACGGCGCCTGATAGCCCTGGGCAATTGTTCAGTTAAACCAAATTTCATTGACCTCGAGGTCACCGAAGACGTTGCAGACAGGTCAGGTCAAAGGAAGAATTGATGTGAAAATGATCAATAACATGCCAAAAATTGTATTGGTTCTTTAGTTTACCAAAGAGAAACAAAAGAGACAAGCTTTCGACAACACTGTCATCTTAAGGCCAAATTAAGGTCAAATTTTGAAAATGAAATTAAAAAGTAAGGATTAAAAAGTAAGATTTATCAGGATTTTGGCTTGTTCACAGTTCAGGCTCTGACCGCCGGCTAACACGTACCAGGCTCATTTTTGGTTTGCGCACTCGCATGTCCCGAAGATCCTTTGAGGGTAATGAACTTCAGCTTCGAATGTTCAGGTCCCTGGTTCAGGTCAAGGCCAGGTCATCCTAGGTCACGGAAATTTCACATCATTTATCGGTCACGTGACACATGTTTTATGGTACATTTCACTCATAGATTTCGAAATAAGTATCATCTAAGTCATTTCAGGTCATTTACAGCTGAATTTAGCTGAGGTCGGGTCACTTTTAGGTCATTAAGGTCAAATTTTGAAAATGAAATTTTCACCAAAAAAAAGGTCTCTATCAGATGCAGCTTCAACTCAAGAGCACGATGGTGCTATTTATATTACTGTGCGCTATTAAAAACGTACTGAAAAATGGTTTTAAAACATCTAAAATTGTGAAATTTTGACTATAATGCCGAATGCGTACCTATAACTCTGCCAATTTTAAGGATATTGGGCTGAAACATTCCAGGGTAGATCACCTGTGGTTGTACTATCACATATATTCCGTTTTTTAGCTTAAAAAGTTTAAAATCTTTTTTGTAATTGTATCCGTATATTTTTCAAAATGCTCAGCATTTGGAACATGCGAGATTATATATTAAACCACGAGCAGGAATAAAAACCATTTAAACGTCGAGCCGCAGGCGAGATGGGATAATGCATCTAGCACTCAAGGTTGATCCCTTACCAGCCGTTCGCAAGTAACCCATAACTTACCCATAAGCACTGTCATCTTGGCCTGGGGCCTTAGTGAAAAATCACTCGGACCTATCCTAAATGTCAGCTCAGCGTTCTGACCCGTGTCGCGATCTTCATCGACAAGCCGTCATCGATCTCTCCTGCCCTGGGACCTTGGACTCGTCAGCACCAGCTCTGGGCTCGACCCTGACCTGGTGCCTGAGGCGTCACCTGACAGGTCATTTGGCGGGGCTCAGCAGCCCCCGTCCCCTTCCCGACGCTATGGTGGTTCAGAGCCTTTAATTATTCGCCTGGCACCTATTGCCAGCTTGTGCCACCAACAATTCCTACAGAAGCGTTGCCTGTCCGAGGTGGTGAAAAGGCTCTTTATAAGTAGAAAATTTATCAGGTCTTGTGGTGGATTCTGTGGATTCTGCCCATGTGCTGCTCCTCAGTGTATTTCCTTCTATCTTGTCTGTCATTCCCTCCTGTATCTTCTCCCTATCTATACGGCGCAGGCAAGCCTGGCAGAGCTGCTTAAATCTAATGCGGCAACTTAGGTAGGCCTTCAACAATGCTTTTCATTGTCAGCCGTCCAGAGGTGGTGTCCGCGGATACAAACCCCTTCTCGGTGTCTGGGGACTCTGTCTATGTATATCCTTCCTCTGGCAGCGCGGCCGACGCGGCCCCACAGCCGGAAGCGAGCGGCGCTGACCGGCGGGGGTGACGGTCGCGTCGCGATGTCGGCGGCGCGGTCGGAGCGCGGCCCCGTCCACCGAAATAGCGCGGCGGCCGGTCAGCCGGTCTCCTTCCCCGCCCCCGCCCCCGCCCGCCCCGTCTCCGTCGCCGTCGATGCGCCGTCAGTGTCGCCGTCGACAGTGTCAATCCGGTGTTGCCGCGACAAGGTGCCGGCGGAAAGCGGTGTCGCGAGCCGCTCGTTGTGAACCTTTCTGATACTCTCTCAATCAATCACGAACTCAAGCCGAGCCGGCTGTGCTGGCACTGCTCCGTGTGGTGCTGTTTGACTGGTGACCCGAGCCGGGCCTCTTGCCGTGGGCCGGCGCGCCGGACTGTCGCGCTGGTGTGACCCTTGGCCACGGCGCCGGACGCTGATTTAGCGGCGGCCCGCTGACCTGGCCACCGTCGACCTGTTGGACCGACCCCAGCTCGGCGTCCGTCGGCGCCGGCGGTGGCGCGGCGCCCGCTCAGTTGTTGTTGTGTCAGTGCTGCGTCGGTCAGTGGCTCCGCTCCGCATCCCCGCACGTCCGACGCTGATTCACACAGCCCCGTCAGTCGATCACGCTGAGCCGCCCTTGAATGAGCTCTCGGAGAGGCCCGCGGTGAATCGAAAGTGAGCCTCAAGGGATGCCCTGAGAGTGACCGGAGGTGCTCTGTTTGACCGTGACACCGAAGAGGCCGGCTGCGCTGCCGAGGGAGGACACCTGTGAGGTGTCGCCGGCGGTGTCGGCGGCCGGGGAGGTGGCCGTGAGGCGGCCCGTTTGCGGTTTGGCGGCGGCCACGGGCGCCCGCCGCCATGCCGCGCGTCTGGGAGCTGCTCTCCTACCTGCGGGGGGAGGGCGACCAGCCCAGTCAGCCTGACTCCAAGCTGCGACAGATGTGAGTGGGGTCAGCTCGGCGAGCCGTCCAGCGGCGCCCAGAGGTGACAGGTTAACGGTCAGTTAACTTTGATGTTGCGATGTATGACGTTAATCGCTAGTTTTGGTTGATTATAAGCCGGGCGCGCTGGCAATCGTCTGACACCTTTCGCCCTTGGCTACTTGCTGCGGGTCGGTTCTCTAAATAACTGCCCGATGTCCTCCCAAGGCTGAGTGATCATGTGAGCAGTGACGTCTGTCCCTCCCCTGCCCGAATTTAGCCATCAGCCTCAGCCTTCTTCCAACTGACCTCTTCGGCTCGTCTTTTATCAGTGACCTATGACACCGATCAGGGGCGGATCCAGGAATTTTCGGGAGGGGGGGCGGCAAGTCGAAATAGGGGCGACCTGGCAATCCGGGGGCGCTCCACACAAAGGGGGCGCCAAACCGTCAAAATCGGGAGCTAAAAGCCCGCGCCGTGCTAGGGGGCGTTACCGCGCTCCCCCTCAGGGTTTTCGCAAATATCTGAAAAATGGCTGCGCGCAGCGCCGCCATTTTCAGCATACCTTATCATGCATCTTTTTTGCACATGTTGTAAAATGTCTGACGCGGGTGATGGAAGGTTAGGTCACCAGGTTATGCCAAGTGACCTAGCCTAAGAAAAAGTTCAAATGCTTACCATTGCTATACCGACTGAACGATTGCTTTGAACCTTTCAGCGATTGATGAAAGCAACACTATTCATGAAATGTATATCTCGGAGTTTCGATATCTGTGACCTAAGGTCAGGTCAGTAGTGCGACGTCTCCATTAGGTAGGTAGGTATAATTAAGTCTTTGGGAGAAAACTGAAAGGCATCTCTTTTGGACGAGCGCCATTCTAGACAATATCAAGCATTGGGATACATATAAAGTTAACACACTGAGCACCTAGTGTGACCACTCATAATGTCCCAGAGGTCATCCCATGTCATGAAAGGTCCGCAGCAGTTTTTTAACAACTTTTGATAGATTCAAGCTAGAGCGATAAAAACACCTCAGCTGTGTTCAGCTCGACGATACGCATCGACTGCTATGCAGCATGACCTTTCCCGGTCAGGTCATGCCCTTGACCTGAGGTCAAATTCTCAAAATTACCTTTCATACGGTCAACCTTTAGTTTGTTCGGCGTGTCTCGACGACAGAAACGCAATGCTGGCAAACGTAATGTCGAGACTCTCTTGAGCAAAAGTTATTGCAGGAAACATTGTTCGTTAAAAGGCTATTTTTAGAGTCTTTTGCCCTCTGAAGGCTAAACCGTTGACCTGAGGTCAAATATGAGCGCAGCTTGCAGAAACACCTTTAAAAGGGCTATCGAATGCGCTTTTCTGCGGCGCTATAGCTCTATTGGTTTCCGAGTTATGTGCCGCTGCTTCGAAAACGGAAAAATGTTGAAACAGGCAACATTTTACCTTTGATGATCTCTGGTGACCTGACATTCGACCTGACCTAAAAAATGACCGTTTTGTTGTCGTCCTGTTTTTTTTTTTTTTTGACGATCTTTCGAATGCCGCTTATCGCGTGTCACTACGCGGCCCAGGAGCCGAGTTAGACGAGGGAGTGTGCCCCCCCCTCCCCAGCAGGACACGGAAAACTCAGACCACCAGCACGGTACGGGTTAAAAGTCGTAGATGGGCACCGCTACCCTAGCAAAAGATATTAGCAAAAAGGTGGCCTCCATTTACTGGTGCAGTCCTTCTTCTCCCGGTCCTTTTTCTGGAAGCGTCTCACTTATGCTGGTATGCCTCACTTCCCGGGGGCGCCCAACCTCTGCTTGGATCGCCTAATCCATTATGGAGAGACCCACTTTGCTCAAGTCGCCTCATTTCTTCCTTCTAAGAACGACCAATTTGCTGTACGCGGCCCACTTATCTGGGACGCCCATTTTCTGCTAGTAGTGCCCCTCTTCTTCCTGATGCGTCCCACTTCTACTACGATTGCACCTTTTCTGTTAGGGCGCCCCTTTGCTGCTGAGGAGTCTTTTTTCTACTGTGAATAGGGCGGCCCTCTCCTGTTGGGCGACTCCAAATTCTGCTGGAGGCGCCCCACTTCTGCCCAACTTTTGGTGGGCTGCCCCTCTCTTGCAGGGGGCACTTCTCTTTTGCTGGAGACGCCACTCCTGTGGGGGCGCCCTTCCACTGCGGGGAACGTCTCTCTTCTGCCAGAGGCACCCCTTTTCTTCTTATGGGGTTCCTGTTTTTTTTTTTCTGGGGCGAGGCGACCCTCTGCTGCTCGGAACGGGGCACACCTCTCCTTTTACTGGGGCACCGCCCCTCTGCTGGGGTTGCCCTTCCGCTGTCGTCAGGGGCGCCCCTCTTGGTAGAATATACTCCTTTTCTTTTTGTAATGGGGCGCCCCTCTTCTACCGGGGGCGCCCATCTGCTGCTGGGGCGTCTGTCTTCTGCCGGATATTGTCAATGGGGCGCCCATATCCTGTTTGGCGGGCCCAACCTCTGCTGGAGGCTCCCTATTTCTGATTAACTTTTGCTGTGGCGCCTCTTCTGCTGGGGCGCCCCTCTTCTGCTTGGGGCGCCCGTCTCCTGCTGGAGACCCTTCTCTTCTGTTGCGGCGCCCCTCTTCTGCCAGTGGCACCCATTTTCTTATTATGGGGCTCCTTATTTGCTGGGACGCCCAGCTGCTGTCAGGGCGCCCCTCTTCTCGGAATGGGGGCGCCTCTCTTCTTTTGCTGGGGCGCCGCTCCTCTTCAGGGGACACGTCTCCTGCTAAGGGTGCCCTTCCGCTGCCAGGGGCGCCCCTCTTGAACATAAGGTATTTTATATTCTTGTAACGAAACGCCCTCTTCTGCTGGGGGCGCCCATCTGCTGCTGGGGCGACTCTCATCTGCTGGGAATAGGCAATTGGGCGTCACTCTCCTGCTTGGTGAGCCCAACTTCTGCTGGAGGCGCCCTATTTCTGTTGAACCTTTGCTGTTTTGCCGCTCTTCTGCTCGGGGCGCCCTCTCTGCCGCGGGATATGGGCGCCTTTTTCGGATGGCGGGGGGGGGGGGCGGCCGCCCCCGTCGCCCCCCCTGGATCCGCGCCTGACACCGATGTATTTTCGATTGAAATTGTGGACAAAGTGATGTGGAGTGAGAGACGATGGACGTGGTGCAGGTAATGGCCATAGATCCCCTATATTTGTTAATCGTGAAATACGCGTTTTTTCAGATTTATTCGTGATACGCCTGCATGTCTATAGCCTCGGTCACAGATAACATTAGTACTACTGTTATCTGTGCCTCGGTATATGATATACCTAACAATCCTAATCGCAGGATGCATTACATACTTTTTGTCGGACATTTTCCTAAATATAGCATACATTCGACCTCCAGCGCCGCTGGTGCCCTCCACACAGCCGAACTCCGCGGCCATATGATCGATCCACCTCCTCCTCCGCAGGCGTGAGGCGTCCCTGCCGGTGGACCCTGCCAGCCGGCGCGAGCTCGATGACCTGGTGGCCACGGTGGGCGTGCAGAAGAAGGAGATCGCCCAGCTGACTGATGAGCTGGCCGGGTACCGGGCGCGCGAGCAGGAGGCCGCCGCCCGCCTCACCTCCCAGCTGGCCGAGTGTGACCGGCTCAGGGCGGAGCTGACACAGGCTAGAGCGGATCTCCAGCAGCGAGATCAGCAGCTACAGGAGCGGGACCAGCAGCTGTTGGAGCGGGACCATCAGCTGCAGGAGCGGGACCAACAGCTGCAGCTCAGCACCCAGCAGCTGCGCGCGAGGCAGGCCAAGGTCGAAGGTGAGTGTAACTGGGACCGGGGCGATGCGGCTGGGTTTGTGGCTGGGACCGGGGCGATGCGGCTGGGTCTGTAGCTGGGACCGGGGCGATGCGGCTGGGTCTGTGGTGGCTGGTATGTACGAGTATGTATGTACCAGGGCGAGGTGGCTGGGTCTGTGGCTGGGACCAGGGCGAGGTGGCTGGGTCTGTGGCTAGGACCAGGGCGAGGTGGCTGGGTCTGTGGCTGGGACCGGGGCGATGTGGCTGGGTCTGTGGCTGGGACCAGGGCGAGGTGGCTGGCTGGGTTAGGTGGAGGCTGTACGGATAAAGGTGTGCGAGTGAGCAATGTGAGCGGGTGCGGGAATGGAAAGAGACACGAGCATGCATTGCTATTAAGTGGATGATGAAGATCAGCTGAATGACGGCTTGTCGTGGTATTTTAGAAGGTATGTAATTAAGGATCGATATTGAGGGCGCTAACTCGCATGCTGCCACTCCATTCCAAGATTCACTCAAGAGTGACCGGTTTTAACTTTGAAGTTAAGTGGCGTGCTTCATCAGCTGTCAGAGAAATGCGGCCTGTTGCTCTTCATTTGTCATATGCCACTTCAAACTCAATTAATATTTGGTTTTTGGGTAGTTAAGGGGTTCGGCTAGCCTGGCGCGAATGTCGTTGGCCCGAGACCATTTCCGCAGTCCGTTTAAATGACCTGTCGGGCCGCCAAGCCAACACAATTCAACATCCGCGAAGTGCTTGGCACCTAACGCCCCCCGGCGTGACTTTGGCTCTTCGCAGACAACACATATGACTAAGCATGACTAATGGTTACGACTCTGAGCTGGCCAAATTCCTACATGGACCATGGGGGGCATCAATGATGCCAAAGAAGTTGCAGGATATTTCATCAACTTCGCTGTTTTATGATTTGTTAACAATGGAGCCATGGACTTCATTGAATGATTTACCTACCTTTCAAACAGTGGGTATAATATATATTCGTTGTCATGCCTTGAAAACATGCTTTGGACTGGTTCCGTGTGATTGTGCTCCTCTATTTTATTTATGTATCAGGCACTACCATGGTCTGCCATCGGTGCTGTATCGTACCTTGCTTGTATAAGTTACACATACCTATATCATATATCATAATATAAAAAGAAAGCGAGTTACAGCAAATTACGCGGTGAAGTTCAGCATTTTGTTGCTAAAAAAATTCACATGCACCAGGATTGAAAAGATTCTGAACACCACAAACGACTCTTTCAGACCATCCTACTTGATTTCAGTTGTTTGATTTCAGTTTCCCAGACACGTATATTTAGCCCTAGCCTGGGAAAATCCTCGGTATATTTTGGTGCGTTGATGTCAACAAATAGCCTTCTCGTGGCCGAGGCGGGGTCCAAGAGCAATATTTGACGGCAGCGTCACAGGCGTGGGAGGCTTGACGCCGGCCGAAAGACGCAGAACCGGCCACTAGACACGACCGAGGGTCTACTTTTAGCCCGGTGGCAGAGGCTGGATGTGTACTCGTCGGACAAAATGAGTGACAGGGTAAAGGCTGCGTAAATAGAACTAACTTTACATGTAGGAAACTGCTACGACTTTATTTGATCATGTTTGCTTTTATTGCTTTTAGAAAGTAACCCGCGCCCCGCTGGGGGGCAGAATCTGCCCCCCCTCCCGTTTTTCGCCAATAACTTCTAAAGGCGTTACGCCAACGACGTCAAACTTTCAGTACCTTATCATACATCAATTTGACACGTTCCCTGAAAATTTGAGCAAAATCCGTCGGAAATTTTTTGAGAAATTGACGTTTTAGTGACGTCATGTTCGCCATTTTCGCCTCAAAAACGGAAAAAATTTCAAACGCCGCTAACATCTTCATTTTTAAAGGAATCAAGACGTAACAAGAAAGGTTATACGTGACTCTACTTTGTCTATCAAATGGCTATCTCGGATTTTTGAAAATTTTGGATTTTGGCCATTTTTTCTAAAAAAACTGACTTTTTTGGGAAAATAATCATAAAATCCAAAATGTTAAGTGTATCGAAAAAACCGGAGTATATGTCAGAGAGGTGGTCTTTGTGCACCTACATACCAATTTTTAGAAGAATCGGTTCAAAAATGTGGGAGTTATTCAAAATTTTATGACGTCACGACACAAAATTTTTGAATTTTTTTTTAACTTTTAGACCTCGTACGGAAACAAAAATAGCACCATTCGATTCGCCGTGACAAACTGCATCAGATAGACACCTTTTTAGGCCTTAACCCTAGCGCCGCACATGGGGGGGTGGTTGCCACCCCCCCCCCCCAGGCAGTTTTTCTGCTCTGCACTCAACATTTTTAGAGCTAGAAGGCTGATTTTTCGTATAGCTGCTCGTCTATCCTTTCTTGATGTCCACTGAAAATTTCAAGTTTCTGTGATTTTTGGTTTCGGAGATATGACCTTGTTTTTCAGGTCATGTCATGACCCAAATGGCCAATTCTCAACATCTTGCGTTTGCCATGGGCCTTGTGAGCTTTTGACACCCTGATTTCGGCCTTTTTTGCCAGTCTTACCTCCCACCTATCATGGAACATGTTGTTCGACGATGTACAGGGGTCAAGGTCAGGGTCAAGGTCAACCTAGGTCATCTAAGATAATTGCGTTTTAGGCAAGCTGAATTTACTTTTTGTGAAGTTTTTTGACTGCATTTTTGGTAAAAGCTTCTCAGATCATGATTTCATGTGATATGGACCCAAAAAAAATCGGTGCACACATCAGTATACACACAGACACACACAGACATACAAACACATATAATTGACCTTGACCTAACTTGACCTGAAATGACCTCAGCAGCAAAATTCTGGTCGGATAGTGTGACAAAGAGGTTCTAGCTGGCTTGGCACCAGAAAACAGCATCGTCATCGGTATTTGATAAGCAGCGCACTTGATATCCAACGGTGACCCAAAACAGCAACATTTTTTAGTTTGACCTGACCTGGAAGGTCAATGACTGACCTGAGAAGGTAAAACTGGGTATCATTGGATTCGTCTCTTCCCAAAGAATCTTTTTGGTCTTTACTGCTAAGCTCTATCTCCAACAGGAACGAAATGGCGCGGGGGGGGGGTGGCAACCACCCCCCCATGTGCGTTCTAGGATGGGAAAATGGCATGTGCGGGCGAGGGTTAAGAACCAACTTCAAAATTTGACCTCACTTGTCCTGACCTTGACCTGACCTTGACCTAAAATTCATCCAGAGGTGTTCCATAATCATATCACTAATTGAGTGTGTCTATTGAATTATATGAGTAAAATGACCCATAAAACATGTGTCTCACATGCCCTTTTCTATATTTTGTTTTTGGTGACCTGACCTGACCTGACCTGACCTTGACCTTGACCTTTGAATGACATTGTATGCAACGAATATTGTCTTGGTAGTCTAAGAACGCGTTTTGGGCAATCAGTCTCAATCCATTCTTCGGCAACTACGGTGCAAGGCCGATACTGTAGAAACCTGCATTTTGTACCCTTGACCTGACCTTGACCTGACCTCTGACCTACTTAAGCAAAAAAATTGGGCTCTGAAGATCCGCCTTGTTGTGAGCTTTCGATTGCCGTTTTCCCCGTCTTTCTACGACCATCGGTTCGGAAGTTAGACAGGGGGCAGAATCTGCCCCCCCCCCCCAGCAGGGCGCGTATGGCTGAATAGCCCAGCGGGGCGCGGGGTAAGAGCCAAGATGCGCACTGCACAATCCTGGTTACTAACTACTATGCATTTCAGACCCTCTGGAACAGTCCTTTTTGGCTCTTTCTCGTTAGTTATACGCTTGATTTCAACCAAACTTTGACACAATGAGTTTCAAGGCCCTACCTAATTTTTTACTAATATGGTCTTTTAACAAAATGTCAAAATGAAGGGCATTTGTCATTGACTTGTAATGGTAAAGATTGATCGGAAAACTCTGCGCCGTGGTAGAGGCTAGCATGGCGTAGCAGCGTCAGCTGTTGCGCCGCAGCTAAGCTCCGCCCACTGCGCCGCGACACCGAGACCGGTCATTCGCCGCTCGGGGTCAGAGCAGTGCGGAGCTCTGACGGATTGGAACAAGACACATGCTAACGCAGGTATCCTTGCGTGAATTTATGCCATATCTCGGGCGGAGAGAATAAGGATGAAGAATGCTATGCATATCGGTGTGTGTATAAAACGATAAGCACTGCTTCCAGCGACAGATTAAGCTCCAGAATGTTATTCCCTACAAAATGAAAATAATGTTATTTTCAATAATTTATTGCGAGCTTCTCCGCTGCCCTGTTTTCCTACAGGCTATGGTGCATTTAAGGAGTAACGAGGCATAATCTACCGGATTGTCTTTAGGTACGCATGTGACATTCAGCGGCCTTATTTAATTGAGGATATCCACATACCTATGTAGGGGAAGTTGGGGGAACGCCGAATACTTTTTTTCTGACGCCCGTAGCACGCAAGGTAGACAACATAAGCTATTCTTGTTGGCGTCATTCGAGAGGCCAGTCTTTTGCCTTTCAAACATACCAGGCGTAGTTGATGAATTCGCATACCGTTAAGCGCACAAACTAAAAATATCCAAGGAGTGACTTTTTCGGCGTTGCCCCGGACTGCGGGGAAAGCCGAAAATGGGAGAAATGATCTACGGGGAATGCCGACATTGATGTTTTGCCACTTTATCTCAAACTTTATCCAGAATTTATCAAAGCTGACACGCGTTTTAAGAGCTTGAGGACGCTTGGTGCACACTGGAAGTTATAACTGTGTGATATAATAAGAAAATGCCAGGTAAATAATTCCTTATAGGTAACAAGCCGTTGTGTCGGTTGAAAGTGTAATTTGTGTGACTAAAAATTCGCGTTGCTATTTTACAGCAGTAAAGTCCACGTAGCGTGCTTTAACCCTATTAGTGGCAGGCTCCTGGCTACCCCATATTAGTGGCAGGGGGGGGGGGCTGTTTACGACCCCCCCTTGATATCTCGAGATCTAACGGGCCGATTTT